CACCTGACTAGAACTAGTCATCACAGTTTCAAATGATATCATCTCACAAGTACGCATCTCAATTCACTTGTGGCTTCATCTCTGATCGGCTTCGTTTTTGGTGAACGATTTGAAGAGCGCGCAATTCCGACATTTTGATCGTTGCCAATTTTGAGTACAGTCAGAGCATATGTGGTGAAGAAGAGCAAGTAACCGGGTCACCGTGTTGAGTTGAGCAGGTTGAAAATTCACGCTTGAGCTGAAACAGCTTTGTAGCAAGTGCTAGGGTACTGCTCTGGAGTATGGTAGGTTACAAGGCTTCTCTCAACCAGGAATTGAGGGTGTAGAAGAAAAAGCAGACGTTCTTCGTGGATAGTGGACTAAGCCTTTTGAAGGAGGTAAAGAAAGCGGAGATTCTGTAATAGTGCGCTTGTGTGAGAGCTCCCAGACAGCACAACAAAACGCTGAATTGCCTAGCCTCACGGTTGACAGATGTCCGGAGACCGAGTAGGGTGATCTCTATAGAACACTGAATCCGTCGTGCAGGGCCCGTGGAGTGGACAAGCTTCTCCTGTGAGAGATTCTTCCCCAGAAAGATGAAGTACCGTCATCACCTTACATTTTCTTCTCTTCCTGATCTGCTAGTCACGGTCTCTCATTTTATGGATGATCCTTACTTATATCATTAATGGCGTTTCAACGAATTCAGGGACAAGTATAGCTTCACGTGAGTGTGCTTCATCGAAGAATTTGAAGCCAACTAGCTATAGAGCGGTGTAGCAAGTCAAGTTGTTGAGCTAACAACCACCAACTGGTCAGTCCTATCGGCTCGCTTGGCTCAACCAAATGCTGATTCACTCGTAGTTTGCTAGCTGGTTGTGGACCTACTGTTCAAAATAGTTATGTAAAAGCGAAAAAGCTCAACAATTTGTTGCAGATGTTCCAGGCAGTAGCAGAATTTCCGCGACATAGTTACATACTAAAGGGATTGGGTACGGTCGCTGCTAAACGCCTATCCATTGTTTGCAGTTTGATTCCACCCACTACGTCTGGGCACTTATCTTAATTATTCATTCTCGTGGAAGCTGGCCGAAAAATGGAAGCCTTATAAGCTAATGCGAAGATGGGCCAGTGCCAGCTTGCGATCCAAGTGATTCGCTAGCGGCTCTTAAATGGCACACTTTCACCTTGAAAGTTACGCCTACTGGAGCGATCTCTCTCTTGGGATCGAGGTGGTTAGATCAGCAACCGCACGAGGTGCTCCGCTGCCTTATTGAAGCGTCGTAATAAGCCCCGTTAATTGACTTCACTCACTCACGCTCCAAATGCGTGAATGTCTGCATCTCGCAAGTCCACATGTTCTCTCGGCTGAGTGCCTAGTATCTCTTCGTTGTACAACTCGTCCTCCACCATCCGAAACGCACACCATATTCTCGGGGTTGTCGCGTTTTTTCTAACAGTTCTTTCACAGGCAGTCCCCTACTCACCTTTGCTAAAATTTCATTGCAGTAGCAAACAGCTTGGCGATTGATGAATGTAACTTGGACGAAACGTCCGACTTCGGTCAGTCAGCACACCACCGTTATGCCTATAGAAAGCTGAGCACATGGCTCATACCACCTGCAGGGACTGATCAATATTACAAAAATAATGGCATAGCCGACTGCGTCAACCGCGACGAACGCACATCTCCCTCAGTGTAAATTAAGATGCTCCCGCTCCGCATTGCTACACCGATTGCTGTATTGATTTCAAACATATCCAGCGAACATATCAGTGATAGAAAACGAAGGATCCGTTGTGAAGACATCGCTCTGACGAAGGCTCAGCGTCGGAAATGTTGTGTAGAAAGGTAGCTGAAATTCTTCTGACCATGAGATGGACCACGAACATTTTGTGGGCGTTGAAGTTCGAGAGCCACCTCCCCGGGACCTTAAAGACGAAGACTGTTCCAGTCGCCATCTGTGAAAGAATTCCTGAAATCAGGTGAGGCCGCCACAGTCTGCGAAAAGCAGATCAGGATAGAAATATTGTCATTTGACCGTTCCATAGCTTCTGAACTGGCCGATGTTTAAGAATTAGGGGACCATAGATGGAGGACTTGGCGTTACGCCATGAATTCGACTTCCAGTTGAAGTCTAGTGCTATTTAAATGGATATCTGAGCTACTATTTGATGCAGTGAATCACGACCTTCCTTAATTTTAGGAAACTGAAGGGACAAGTCGATGTTTTCACCTGCACAGACGAATCTGCCTATGAGTTCACTAATATTAAAGAGCAAGAATTTTCACACATTCTTCACACCCTATAGGATTCGTTCCTTGGAACCTGAATGTGATGGTGACAGGTGTACTTGCCCCTGCTCCACCTACGCCACTGTCCAGCTGTTACAGAATTAAATAATTTGGCGGTAACTTCGCTGGTACTGAACCTGTTGATCATTTCGCTATGCAGCTTTCTGCTCAAAGAATACTTCGTGATAACCACCAGCTGACGGGTTCTTTAACCATTACACTCTACCAGTACTAACTTGAAGCTTTCGCGAAAAGTATCTCACTTCGTCTGGAAGATTGATCTGAGCAAATATCCTCATTCTTCTCATCTTCCAAGAGCAGACTCTTCTCCGAACATCGCAATCAACCTTTTGAATAACATTCCCTTTATATTTATTACTGCTTCTAAAGACTTTGTAAATTGTTCCTATTTTGTCCTTCTTGTGCTAAAGAAAGACTCTGACTGTTATTAATAAAGACCCTAAATTTGGCCAAACCATAGCGTGAGCATAAAAGGAATCAAGGATTAGTTCAAAGGGGGCTCCACGGTAATGCCTACGGTAAGCTCCCTGCTAGTCATGGACCTATATAGAACCATCGACAGATTCTGCAGGTGATCTGGCGCGGAATGCTTCCAACCGCCTCCCGTGTATTCTGACCAAGTCTGAGGCAGAATAGCCAGAAATTTCAGATCAACACTGCGTAGGTAATGTTACTTCTTGACGTAGTGTACCCACTATTTCCGAAAACCAGGTGCTCGTCGAGTGCAGACCACCCGCCACAAGTGAGGACAGATTCCACAAATGTAAATCTTTCTCTGCCAGAGAATTATTAGGCCTATACGAAGTTATTACGCAATTGTTACTGGTTACAACTATCGTTTACCAATCTATCAACTATCACCATGAACCACGAGTTGCTAGATTTACTTGGAGACCGTCGCCACTTATGGTGTGTGGTCTGCACTCGACGCGGATCTGGCTCTCGCGAAACAGAGGGCAAAGTGTAGCCGATTTTAATTTGAATACATGCTAGCTGAAAAGTGCATGGAGCCCACGTGCGTCAGAAATACGTAATGGTTGTGGTTGTAATATCAGTTACCCCGACATAATTGCCAGAGCAACCAGATGCCTATCACAAAAACACGTCATGCGGAAGCACTTCACCCAACTTCACCGAGGTTTCACTCTGAATTACTCACAAAATAGAAGTTTGGAAAGATTTCACTGGGAGAAGCGCTTTAAAATGGTACAAAAAATAACGCCATCCATCACTTGAAGCGTCGTCCTTTTGCCCCCTGTTGTACGATAGGGAAAATGGGAGGAGGTGGTGGGGGGAGTATGTTATAGTCTGTTCCGACAAACCCATCAATGGGAGTAAAGGCAACTGCTTTGTTCGAGTTTCGCAACTGAACTTCATGTGATCTCACAACCGTGATTCTAACGCAGCTCTCTAAACTGTTCGCTGCGCAAATAGCACCAGATCACTTGAATATCTGGCGACTGCTTCAAAAGAAGCTCAGTAATCGTTTGGCTACGGAATGGCTTGAAATTAGGCGGTCAAAGGAACCCCCCTCCATCCTACTGTCGGCGGATTGCAAAACCAACAGAAGGGCTACCGCGCTTGTGACTCTTACCGGTGCCTAATAAGCCCGGCCTAATATTTAAGCCCTCTGCGAGTCTAATGAACCGCCACCGCAGTGGTAGCGTAGGCTGTCACTAAACAGTTGGGAAGGTGCAGTTTGGCTGCGTACGACCTGCAAACGGAGCCACAACTGGTTTGCATGTCCGGACAACATCGCGCACACCCCGCCTCCTCCTAGACTCAGCCTCCTCCCTTAGCCTGTAAAGGGAACAGGGGTTCTCGTTTTCGACTTGTTGACGGCCTATCCTTCCTTTTTACTAGCGTTCCGTTTTGCTCTGTAAGCCACTTCGAGGCAAACTACTCACATACTCGCTCTAACCTAAGCTTTTTAGTACCACTTATATCAATTAGGGGCGGAAGTGGTGTAGTGACAAGTGGCGCGCTCACCACGCGAGCGGTCCGGGATCAAATCCTGGGTCGTGAGTCGCCCGGGCCAACCAAGCCTTCCATCCCTCCGGGGTCGGTTAATTGGTACCAGACTTGTCTGGGAGGATAAAAAACACTGACTTACATCGGCTGGCCCCCGCAAGTCATTGTATAGGCCACATCGCATTCAAATGCCACGAATGTACAAATGGAAGTAGAATGCGTGCCGCATCCCAAAAGGGATTGATCAACGGCAAATGCTTTATCCTTTATCCTTTTATATTCTACTCCCCCAATCGGCTACCGTTTCTCTCTCCTTCTTCGAATGAATTGAACTACTTCCTAGTTTTTCCTGCTTCGAGCTCCAAAATCGTTTTTGTTTTGAGTTTCAAACGATCACAGCGAACCCGTCACCACATTCATCTTTGCAGTTTGCAATAAAATCAAACGATTTCGGTGATATTTTATTAGATTTCGAGAACTATAACAATAGCCCACTCTGTGAATAAGTGATAGCAGTGAAAGAGACGGCATCTGCGGAACATATGCGATTTGCCGTAATATACAGTATCTGTATGATTGCTTCTTACGTGATGGTGTTGCGTTTATGTGTGGTACAGATGTGTGTTTAGCGCCAGATTCAGTACCGGGTTTTCAGGCTAGCAGTGCTAGTTGAATTCGATCGGTAGTGAGCGTGATAGAGGGGCAAAAACGAGCAGAGCGAACGGTGCGAGCGATGGATCGTCGCCCGACCGACGACACTGCTCCACCTCGCTCGGACTTTCGAGAACTACGCGTCAACACTGATGGCACCGACTGGATTGGGGCACCATCGCCACGTCGTGTTATGACCGCACCGAACAGTCCGTCCACCACATTTCGCACAGGTAAGCAAAAGAACTTCTGTGCAGTAGCAGCGTTTATACTCGGCGACGGAGCCATAATTGTTAGATTCAAACGCGGAATCCTATTTGTGATTTTTGGATGGAAAGCTTATTGAGTTTTCAGGGTGCGGGGTCCAGGGGGACGTTAAGGGACGCGTTTGTAGGCGAGAGGATCGTTTTGGGGATTAGGGGAGGGAAGGGGCTTACTACTTCCAAGTGCAAAGAAGGTTAAATTCGCATGAAAATGTGTAAAATCTTTCTGGGCTGCATGGGACGCCACTCCCTCCACGAGATCAAATAGATACTATAAAACTATAGAAGTGAAAGTAGTGGAAATCGTATTGGGAACCCATCTCCGGAGGGATCGTCCGATTTTGAAACTTGTCAGAACGTGAGGGTCGATACTTAGTGGGGCCGGTCGTACTGCGCGGTACACATATATCCCGCGCATGGCAGATCACTTGGGACAGTGCGAGGTCATATTTGTCCCGCACCCATCATCATTTTTTCATGCGCGCGCTAGAACTTGAACTATTCAGACAACAATGCTCACACTTTAAACATTCTTCTAATCTACACAAGGGGTTGGTGCGAGTATAGACCATGCTACTCATTTATAAGGGTAGGGTAGGATATTGACGCTTGTACTTATAGATCGAGAGGCGATTTTCCGTTCGGGCAATGCGACAGTGGCCGAGACGCACTTGATACGATCAACTGGATCACAGTCAAACTCGTTTACTGAAGAGCACTGGAGTAGTGAAATCACCAGTTTCGTCACTGCTGCTCCACCGAAATTATCCAGGTTCGTTTCTGCCTTGCTATACAGTTCTCAATTTACTGCCAAGCATTAAAATCTTCCTCCAAGCTCCGCTGAATTACTTTTGAACTCGAACTTTTCTCGCAGATGTTATTACTCAGACATTCCGTCAAGCGAAACGATCACTTCATCTACCATTAACTTCTCGCTTTCTTAACAGCTTTGACAGCTTACAGCAGAAAAAGAACGCCTCCGCCTTAAAGGCAGGTCGCCTGATAAATTGGTCTCGCATTGTGAACCAATGTACAGCTGCTTAGAGCAGCAGCAGTGCAGGAAAAACGAAGATAAACGGCCAAAACGATGGGAGAAAGGAGGGTCCGCAAAACAGGATTCTTGTTTCTCCGTCGATGTCTGATGTAGGTGAATCTATCACCGCTGAGGCTGTGTTCTGCCTCTGCTGCGAAAAGGCTAAGGTCAGATGGCGAGACGACTAGGAGCTGGGGAACCATCTGTAGGAGGGCCAACATATGCTTAAGGAGCGGGTAAGGCTTTACTCGGACCCTCCTCAGCAAACTCCAGGCGCGCCTCAGTCACTGCGCCGAAAACGCCACATTTCACTTCCTTGGGGTACATAATTTCTCTGTAGTAGGTACACCAGTACTTCATCAGCACACAGTTTATTGTGTAATGTGCTTTTAAAACGACAGAATCATCAAAGGCACCGCATATAGGTGTGCATGGGAGCTCTTTTAGAAGACAGAGAACGAATAGCATGGCGCATCAGTGGAGATTTTTATAAGTGTGGGGCGCCATCGCAAGATACGGGGACGTTTTCTAGGACTAGACCTAGGAGGGGACAGGAATTCCAGGGAAAATGAAAATTGCTCATGCATTCTGAAGCTCTCCTCAACTGACCAAAGCTTAGTTTTGACGAAGGGGAGATGCTTCATGCGGTTTTGAGTGCATTGCCACCACATTGCCCCTGGATACTGTGATAGCGCCAAAGGTGGTCAAGGAGTGCTTGTCGCTGTTAATCTTTAAAGTACGGATCAGTTAATAGTTCTTCCCACATCTCTTTTAATACATCAGCAGAAAAGCTGAATGTTAAAGCTCTCAAAAACGATCGGATAATACGCTAAATTTCGTTTATTGAGTGGTTACCCAGTGGGAAATCAGTTGGGATAAAGCTGACTCTCGTTCGAACCGAGTCATCCATCCTACCTCATGGTGGTTTCACCACTTTAAACTGGACCTCTCGTTCTTCAACCCGATGTTTTCCAGGTTAAACGCCTCGCCTAGTGGTGTAAAGTGATAGCTCTCATGTAATCTTGACGTTAAACATTTGTAGGAGCAGAAATGCTAGGGGCGAAATCCACTGGTGGACTTCTCGGTTGAACAATTCGAAAGCTTCATTTCTGAAAATACAGCTTTGTCGGGGTATGGGTGGCAGGGACCATTGAGGGAAAGTGCCCCCGACTAGCTGAACACGCTTGAGACGGTTCGGTCCACTCAGCGCTAACTATGCCATAAATGTGGTCAAATATTACATGCTGGAGGGGGTGCAGCATCGCTTCAGCACCAATGTTTCAATCGCTGTCGCTAACGTGAAATTTTCACTCCGCAAGTCTACACCCAACATATTTTTCGCATAGAGCGCACAGAATGGGCACCACGCCTCTTCACATATAATATCTACTCCTCGAAAAAGGCCGAATTGAGGCCACTTCACGTGGGTCTGAAAAGAAATATTCCACCCAACATTAACCCTTCCATCGCCTTCCTCCATTAATAGCTAGTCAGAGAATTCTTGGAAAGGTAGTCCTTTACACGAGGTCGCGGTCTGATGACGTGTGGCAAATGAGCTGGGATCTCATTTTGCTGCCGGAACTCTGAACCAATTTTGTGATCGCATATTGGCGTCTTGGCAGTGTCTGGCTCTCACTCGTTTCTATGTTCTCTCGCCCTCTCGATACTGCTCCCTCCAATATCTCTTAGCTGTAGGACCGTACAGTGTTTTAGAATGACCTGCAGAATGATAAAGATTTAGATATCCATTATTTGCGTTTCTTTCGATTCTTCTTCACTGGTCTAACCAGCGCTTCACAATTCCATTTTTGAATAGCACCGCTTCGCTTTCTGCAGTAGTGAATATTTTAGTAATCGATGTGAACCAATGAAGATTGTGGGGGCCACGGAAGCGCGGACGGTTGCGCACAACGGTGCTATTTCAGTTAAGCAACAAATTTTGGCCCCGGGCATCGAACAACGATGTGGGCTCTGCAGTGCACATGTCGGCCCGGAAGGCTAATTCAATACCAGGTCATTGACATCATTTATCAATTAACAAGAACGTGCTGTATCGAGAACTGAAGGAAGGTGGTCTGAAAACCTAGCGATAACAGCGTCCTCGAGTTTCCTTAGTCAGGCGTTTTTTGGTCACCTTGAAAATATCCTTCATTTTAACTGCTCTAAAACGGATTTTGCAACCGGATACCGCCGCCCCCCCCCCACCAACGGTTTGCGATGGCTTGGTATGGCCCGTTGACGGGCCACAACGAGAAATTCTAATTCTTAAATAGCCTATCTTCCAATTTTTGAAGTTAAAGTAATTACTACAGAGGCCTTGAGCAATACCACAAAATTGTTTTGGAAATTTGCTCCGCAACATGGTAAAAGAATAAAAACCCTCAATAAATGCAAACAATTTTTGAGCCTCTTATTACTCGACAAGCATAGCTGTCTCAGCCGCTGTTGTTACATGGAAAAAGAACGGGTTCCAGGGACAGTGTGGCGCACCGACGGACCACGGCTGCATCTCACAAAAAAGCGCGTAATTCCACGTGCCGGACAAGTTCAGAAGGCGTTGTTGTTAATGGGTTTAAGCATGGATTGCAGCATACGCAACTTACCTTACACCATATTTCCTATCAAAAACCGCATGTCGGATAAGGAATCGAATAACTTCTCACGAGCTCAATCCTCTGATGAGTGCCAAAACTACAATCTTTCTAAGGGACTGCCCTTGAACGATTTTATTCGATGTGTTATGTGTTCAGGGTGATCAAAGCGTATCGGATCTTGTCGACCGACACTCCTACGTTGGTCGTCGAGGTGGCCTCTGATCCACCAGCAATATTTGAATGGTTCTGCAATGACAAATCGGTGCAACAGGTACGATCCGTAAGACCTGCGATTGCGCCGAAGGCCTCAAACAAAGCTTATCCTGACTTCAGGATCGCCGACGCTTTCAAGCCCGTCATGGTCTGAACATTACCACGTTAACCGTGCATCAACCCGAGCAGGGCGTCTACAAGTGCACCGCACGGAATCCGGCTGGAACTAGCACTAGCTATGGATACATTACTGTCAATTGTGAGTTTGGCCAGGTTTCCTAGTCTTTCCTAGTGAACCAGCGAACGGACACAAAGAATTAAAGGCAGCGATCACCGTAATGCAAGGCGCTACCTACGATTGATACGGGTATTAAACGCCGTGGTTGGGATTGCGTCTTACCGCTTTCCACCAATGACGTTCAGTGACGTCATAAATCGCACCGCCCCCCAGCCATCGTAGTCACTGCCTTTAAGTATACCATAGAATGCAATACATTTTTATGGCAATTAACAGCTCATCCACTGACAAATCAATGGATTTCGCTGTTCTGTGCGAATTGTGTACATTTTCAGTTGAGCATCAATATGATGAATGGACGATTGTGGATCGAAACATGGTGACAGAGGAGGGCCAGACTACTGTCACCGTGCATCGATCACCACGTTTCATCAATCAGGTACGGGTCCTTCTCTTGACTTGCTGCTCGGCTGTACCCTTAAATAATCTTTTCAGGTTCCAAATCTGACTGTCCAGCCGGGTAGTGAGGTGGTTATCGACGTAGAAGTGGACGCTGATCCGCCCGCAAGGTCCGTTACTCGACCATCGAACCATCATTCGGACCTCCACCTTCAAGATCACCACTGTTTCAGGTTCACGTGGTTTGTGAATGGACGTGAATTCCGCGAATCCACAAATGGTGTCGAACTGTTCTACCCAAGTACGAATCGATGCGTCGTCAAATTCGCTTTCCCAGTTTCCGGCGAATACAAAGTGGTCGCATCGAATGTGCACGGTTCGGCAATGAGCAGCGGATACGTACGAAAATCACTAGGGTAAGTTCTTCTTTTCATAGCTCACTTCAGCGTATCCCAACTCAATGAGTACATTATCGCATTGACCGCAGGTGCGCGCCGTATCGTTTCTTCTCGCGGGATCGGTCCCCCCCGCGCGCAACGATGAACGGCATCAAGTTTTTCGTTCCTACTACCCTAAAATCCCATAGATAAGAGCGGTTTAATTTACCGGTGAAAAATGAATTGGAATGAAATTGAAATTGAATGCAGTCACCCCTCTAACTTGATGGATGGATAAATAAAAATCGGAGAAGAAGTTTAGAAGAAGCTCCGTCCCTCAACTCTAAACCCCGCGCCCACTTAATAAACAATTCATATAGAAAAATAGCGATTTTAACGGAATTTCTGCCGGAATCTCTCTAGAAATGCCGGAATTTGATCTCTGGATAGAACTTGAAGAGCCCATTCGATCAGTAAAATTCCATAGATAAGAGCGGTTTAATTTACCGGTAAAAAATGATTTTGAAAAAATATTTTTATTTTTATTTTATTTTTGAAAAAATATCTATGGACCGCTCTTATCTATGGGATTTTAGGGTAATTTAGGTTGAATGGAGCTATGGCTAGGCACACCAAAAGGCATCCACTCTAGCTTCGCCCTTAAAATCATTGATGGGAAAGACAGTAGGACTCCGTGAATTTGCGGAAGAACAAAAAGGCGAATTGGAAAGTTTCTTCCGTAGCTTAAAGGCAAGAATCAGGATTAAATTGATGGGGTGATTCCACTCAAATGTGAAAGTAGGGATGGGAGGTGGACCGCCAGTGGAGAAAAAAGGAAAGAAAATCCTGAAATACACAGGAAATACGAGCATTTTGCTCTATGCTGTGGAGAAGTTCAAAAGACAGGCAGGGAGATGAGAGATAATGTGAGCGCGGAGAGCGGTAGAGAAGTCCGAGAAGAGAGAGCATAGCAGATCAACGCAGCGACGCAGACAAGATATCGAACGGTGGGCGGACCATGTTAAGTTTGGTGGAGTCTGTTAGAAGTCCATGGCGCCTAGGGTCCTAGTGACGCGTTTCGATGTAGAAAGGTGGCGCTACCTTTGCACTTGCGTACCCAGCACTTCTAGCCATGGTAAGGGCTTCTTAGGTGGGTCTGAGCCCGAACTTTGCCTTTAAGTAGGAAATAGCTGGAACGCCCACCCCTTGAAGATGCTGTTGCTTTTATGGCGCGAGAAAGAACCAGAACCAAGATATTGGGTAACTTGGAAACGAACCATACATTTCGAAGGTGCACCCCAAGTCCGTTAAAGCAATCCTTCGTGGATAGACTAGATCCGACCACAAAAGTCGATATTATCGATGTAGATGTTCCTTCGTCCGGCTCAAGGTTGCGCGACAAGGGCGCTGGGGCCTTATCGATCGCTCGCCTGTTTTCACTGTAACATACGGGTGTCTGCGCACTCTCATCCATTGTGCTCTCTCGCCTATCCTCTCTCCTCCACGCTCAGTATCTCATCACCAGAGCACATTCCTATTTTCAAAAAGCAGAAGTCCTAGATGTTGAAGTTTCTGGCAGGTTCTCTTTTTTCACCGTCAATCCGCGCTCTGCTTTCATTTTCTTATGTAGAAACCATCAATTCTATCATGGGAGAGCCGTTAAGTACATAGCGGCACCTTTGGATCTTGCGCTTATAGTAGGCTATAACGCATTTCCTTCGCTCCGATTCCCTGAC